GTTAGTTCCGAAAATAAATGTATGTCCTCTAAATAACAGGTTTATTTCGGCTAATGCTCACAGTATATTTGGTAGATGACCCTTCCCACATGGGCTAATAGAAAACTGAGCCAAATTTATGGCTCACTGGTGCTTTTTTTAGCTTTATATCTGGCTCCGTTTCCATGCACCAATTTTTTTTCTTGATTTATTCCTCTCACTTATAATAAATGTTACATGCTTTGTTAGAATTTATGTATCTTTGTTCTCTTCTAACACTTTCTGGAATTAAAATATTCTCCTACTTTCTGGAATACCTGCAGAAGTTCTGAGGGTGAGGAAGTTAGAGAAAGGACCAGAGGACTCTCACATGTGCTCCCTTTGTTTCCTGAGAAATGTGGTGTCCCAAATTGTTCCTACGGGTGGATAGTTGATTGGATCCCAACCTCTTAGCCAACCTGTAGCATTTTACATTTTGTAGAAACAAGATTTCTGAATGTGTGAAACAGGTAGGCAATCTTGAGGAAAGCTTCAACGTTCTGCAGGTCTTTGTAAGCCTAGAACAGGCCCTGATTGAATCTTAGACATAACAGTAAGGAGAAATGTAGGTTGCCAAACCTCTTCCAAAAATATGTCAAAATAGTTCAAAGTGATGATAAGGAGAAAGATGATATAATGAGACTGTTTCTCAAAATATCGTATGTGCTTGTAGGAAAAGACCTTTGAAACAAAGAATCTAGACCTAACTAAACAGAGAGAGAATTCTAATAAGACATGACCAGTAACATTGGAATGGTGCTGCTTTGGGTGCTCTGATAAGTAAATTCATCATCATTGATAATAGTAACTTTGGGAAAAGACTGGTGAAGATTTCAGTTAATTGGGTAGCTTTTTAACTTTAAAAACAATCACTTGTAACAGACATTTAGAATAGAGAGAGCTGTGAGTGGTAAAATTCCTCCTCTTTTTTCTCCAGGCTGCCCTCTGCAAGAAAAGGAAGGACAAAGAAAGGAAGGTGAGATGGAAAGAAATCCTCCCCACACTTTTTAAATTCTTTACAGGCATTCCTGCAATCACATGATGCATGTGTTTGCGAAAACATTCGCATTCTGCAATGTTATGCACTAAAAATAAACTTAAGGGAAAATTAGGTTGGGTAGTCCATCAAAACCTATGTAACATTGTAACCAAGAGTACTAAGAATGTTAATTCTAATAAAAACAGTAGCAGTTTAAAAAGATAATCCTAATAAATAAACACTGCAATAAATGTAAGTCAAGATAGCTTGATGGAAGAGCGTAAGAAAGAGTTATGGAGAAAAAGCAAAATGCACAAAGATGGGGAGAAAGTTTAATAAACATTTCAAAGACACAGAGCATGTGCCCAGACAGAGCCAAGAGGAAGAATGTAGGTTGTGATACACTTCTCTTTGGCTGGCGGCAATCAACTGTGTCAGTGTATTTTGTGTTCGGTAGTTGGTACCTGGTGGTGGTAAATATTAATGATGAAAGTGATCACATATAAATCAACCAACTTCCACATTGTGTTCTGACATTGTTCCTCTTTTTACCAATGTCATTTGAGTTCATTCATTTTACAGAAATATGCCTTGTAGCAGAACATTCTGTCTTTTGTTCAATTTCCAGAAATTAAAGTAATTTAGAATTCCTTTGGGTTTACATTTCTTTTCAATGCAAATTTTCTTAAAGGAAAATGGAGTGGAGCAGGGGAGTCTTACAGGTGGCTATAACCACCTTTTAGTATGAATCCATTTATTATTATTTTTGTCACCTGGAAAGATCAACTGGAAGGGGGAATAGAAATTCTGACCTGTGTGGAGTGGAAGGAAAATAGTTGTTGGAGAGGTAGTTAGAAAGCAGGATTTAGGACAATAGGTGTTTTTCCAGAGCCCAAGGACAGCATAAAAAACATCTTGGGGTCAAAGAGACCTGAAGTCAGTGAGAGAAGCACATAAATGAAGATTAGGATTCCCATGCATAAATTTTGCCTACATCACAATATCCTTGGGGTAATTTTTTTCTGAAGTCTTCCACTCAGAACATAACTAAGGGTAGTTTGATTGATTACAAACTATTGCTTATTTTGATATTTGTCCTTAACCTCTCTTTCCAGCTTAATTTCTAAACCTGTTAAATGACACTTCTATGTAAGAGCTTCTTGATCTTTCAAATTTGTGAACAAAACCTTCCAACCTCCATTATCTCAAGCTATGTGTAGTTTAGTAATGGGTGGTATGGAGTGGGATGACATTAGGCCTTTTTTAAAAAGCACTTGCAGCTTTACTCTTGGTAAAATTATTATATTTAAGAAGGAAGTGTAGAGTTTTAACTTTATATATGATTATGAAAAAAGGATTAAGATCCACAAATGGTTAAAATTTTCACTTCATGCATTCATTGGAATCAGAGTTTTTACCAGGAATTTCTATAAAAATAACAACCTGCTTATTTTAATGTGAACTCCTCACTCTACCATCCTTTATCATCTGGTGAATTATAAAAATAGGAGACGGCGAAATGGTTAAGAATGTACAGTGAAAGACAGAATTAAAAAGAGAGGATTTGGAAAATCCACAGATTAAATAACACAGCTCCTGAATAGTTGAGAATTTACTCTAGGCAGAATAATTAGGGAAAAACAGAGAGAGAATGACAGCAATTACAACAAGAGGATTTTAATACAAAATGAAATTAGAAACTACCAGGAAATGTGCTGTTTGTAATAAATAGAATTCAGTATCAGCTAGCTTTGCTTGAACCCCAACAAGGGGAACTTTATAGGGTCCAGACATTATTATAAAATAGGTTCACATATAAATTAATTCCATGGTATTCAGTCCAAGAAAAATAGACTTCAGGATGGTAAGTCCTTATGCAGATACGAAACAGAATAATTGAGTTACTCTAAGTAATCAGACAAAGTTCTTAAAACTAGACTATTAAAGGATATGGTCCTTGCACCATCCCCATAAATGGTGATGTTAAGATATTAAAATGATACAATATTCAGTGCTAAAATATGTGATATAGTTGTTAGGGAGATATAATTTTTCATTTTTTATTCATTATCTGATTTATTTTATACCAGATGATAATGCATTCATAAGGACATACAGTGAAAAAGCAGATGCTGAAACTTTATACCAAATGATATTCTAATGCACCAGCTACTACTTCTCAGCATGTAGAATGTTTTTATGCAATAATGGTATATTAATCAAACTGTGCAAAGTCCCATTAAAATCAATGATGTATTAACTTTGTTTACTTCACATGAGTTATACATAATAAAATAATGTTCTGTAAAGAGTGGCTTTCTTCCTAAGGAAGACTCCATATCATAAATTTTTGTTTAAAGGCAGCTCCTCCTTTTGTCAGACATGCCACAGCATACATGGAGATAAATAGTCATGATACTTACATAAAGCATCTTTATCAATTTTTAAATCATTGAGTGCCTAAAATGTGCTAGATGCACATAAAGTATATTATTTTATTTACTCCTTGAAATAGTTCTGTGAAGTAGTTCCATTATCAATCTCATCTTGCAGGTGAGAAGACAAAGGCATAGAGTTTGGTGAATGTCCATGACTATGTGGAGAGTAAGTGGCAGAGTTTGGGACTCATCTCTGAAAGTCTGAGCACTATATATCCTATCCGTGATGCCTGGGCTCTCAAGAGGTAAGGTGACATCTATTAGCACTTAAAATAGATTGGTCATTGTCTTAGGCCCGGCTTCAGAAGGGAAAGAGACCAGGGTGAGTGTAATATTAAGCCAATTCCTAAGAAAGAGAATGTGGCTCAGTCCTGCAGACATGCTCTGGAGACAGCATAGATCATGCCTCTGAATGTCGCTAATTAGGGAGCAAGGGAGCTGGAACAGTATACTCTCTCCACCCATCAGACAGTGGTTAATGGCTGCCCCTGGGGAGACATAAATTCCTAGCTCTCCTGCAGGCAGGCATAGCAGTTTCCACAGCCTAAAGACAGTCCCCCAGCTACGGGCTGCCCAGTGTAGAAGGTTGAGAGTGAAAGTACTAGGGGAGCAGATATACAAAAAAAAAGTAAAGGATACAAAGGGACGTAAGTGGAGCCCTGATCGGGTATTGCTACTGTCATAAATATCCTTTCTAAGATTCCCTTACATTCTAAATAGTGAAATTGTTACAGAAACATTTGTTTTGTTTATGTCCCCCTTTCATTAGATTCTTAAAACTAAAATGAATAAAATACAAATATAACAAATGTTTAGAAGGAAAAAGTTAATAATCTCCTGTTCCCCACAGTTTAGAATGTATCTTTCTATTACATAAATATATATACATATTTATGTAGTTTTTTTACAAGTACATACACACTATTTGTGTTACTCTGCAAATTGTTTATTCAGGCTAAAATACATATACTAAATATCTCAGGAAGTAAATATGTGTGTATATAACTTATTAATAGCAATATGAAAATGTATGGTATACATAATCCATAATTTATTCCACTAGTTTTCTATTGATAATACTTTGCAATTCTTTGCTACTACAAATTTTACTTGCCCTTCTCTTCTTTCTATTTTCTCCCTAGGTGATCTCATCCCATCCCATTACTTTAAATAGTGTACCATCTATATGCTGATGATTCACAAATTTATATTGTCATCCCTGACATCTCTACTGAGTTTCACGCTTATGTATACAACTGCTTAGTTGTCATCTCCACTTGGCCATGATAGGTACCTCAAGCCTAACATAATCAAACTTTGTTATATATATGTATATTTATATATAATTATATGTATATAGTTTTACCATATATGTATATATCTCTAAACAGCATATTCTTAAGTTTTGCTTCTGTTTTTTTCAAAACCAGTATATATTTATTAGATATATTTTTTAAATAGCCAGAACCTCTCACTATCCTCTGCCCACGTATCTTTCATCAAGAGTTGATATGTTCCATAACAACAGCACAGATCATTACGTCAGATCATCATCTTCAGTGAGTGTTCATTAAATACTTGTTACATAAGAGTACTATTTTGGGTTTTGGGTATATCAAGAAACATAGGACAAGATCCTTGACTTGAAGGAGCTGAGTCTTAAGTAGAGAGCAAGCATCTCAACTTCTCAAAGGTAACTAGTATTATAACACAACGTGCATTCAATGCCAAATGAGTCACACAGACAAGTGCTATCATAAGAATTCCGTCATAGCAAGATAGGGGAATGAGAGCTTCTCATTGAAAATGGAGGAACGGAACTGGGTCTTGTTAATTCTTGGTCATTTCAAGATCCTTCCACCTGGGACGTTCTTTCCTTAGACTGCATGTTTCACTCTCACTCTCTTCTTTCAGTTCTTTGCTCAAATGTCACCTCAGAGTAGCTCTCCGTGACTGAAATGATGAAAACAATCCTCTTCCCCACCACAGAGACTGTTTTCCCCTTGTTATCTGAAATTTAGTTATTTACTTGTTTATTGTCTTTCTCACAATTCATGAGAGCAGGAAGCTTGTCTCTGTTGTTCACCATTGTCTATCCATTGCCTAAAACATTATCTGGCACAAAGTAGGTATTCAATAAATATTTGTTGGGTAATGGGCCTTGTGAACCAAGAGGAACTTAGATGAGAAGACAGAGTGGCCATTCTACGCAAGGACGATGGTCTGAAACACACATGGCCTTAGAGAGTTCTTTTGAGTCATGGTCTACAGACAGCTTTCTACTCTCTATGTGAAAATTTCAGTAATACCTAGGATGCTGATAATATCACTGATGATCAGTGCAAGTGATAGGGCTTGCCTCTATAATAATAACCCCTGGCCAGTTTGGAGACAGTGAGCCTTCTGGATCTGCCAGTTTTTCCTGAGCTCACAGAAGAAAGCTTGTCAAAGAAGACTTGATTGGATCTCTAGAAATAAAATTTTACAAGGCATAAGACAAATAAAAGTGTTGAGGAGACTTCCAAGCCAACTGGCTTATTTTTCAGGATTTCCATAAACAAAAAAGAAAGGCTGAAAATTATGATGAAGGATGAAAATGAAACCAAGGTCTAGTTTATTAAGGTTGATGAAAACTTTTTTTTCAAAACTATATTTTGATACTGATTTACTCAGATTTCTCCCCAGCTACTGTTTGACAAGTAGTTATCTGCCAGTCTTCTCTTCCCCACCAGGCCTGAGTGGACAAGATCCCACAAAACTGCCAAAAAGCCACTGAAGGAATTACAAATCTGTATGCTCTTCATTCATTGTCATCTTTAACACTGCCCAGTCTATGCCGTGACCTCATCCCTGGCCTAGTCCGTTTGGGTTAGTATGAGTCTGCATTTCTTCGCTTGTGGTGGGAAGCAGGTGGGATCTTCCCACTTAGTGCTCTTAGTGGGCAAAACTCATCGAAGGCATTCTTTATGACAGACCACAGTAAGGGGCGGCAACCACAGAGTGAGGCTACAGTATGCCAATGTATTTTGACAGAATTTTACTAAAAACTATTTTGAAAAACAATTCATTTATTTTAATGGTATTCTTTTCATTAAGAAGGTAAGGCATGCTGATTACAGCAAATTTTAAACTACAGAAACGAGAGAAAAAATAGTACATCACCCATAGTTTCACCCCCTAGAGTATTTTCTATTCCAACTTTTATGTATGCTTATTTTTGATCTTTATAAAAAATCACCTCATGGTGTCTTCTACAACTCTTAATTTGCTTATCACACTACTCTGTTTTATTTTCCAAACAGCACCTATTCCTACCTGAAATTTTGTTCATTTCTTTACTTCTGTATTGACTTCCTCCAAATAAAATCTACATTTTATAGAGAGCAGAGTCCTCTTCTCTCTTACGAACTCAAGAAACTAGTTAATTAATGTATAAATGTTAAATTAATATCCTTATAAATATCACCTTATGTGCTGGAATTTTCACATCCTTAGGATTGATTTTCCTAAGTATTTTGCTTATTTTCAATGTTAATAAACTTTGGTAGATTGCTTTCTAAAAGATTGTCATAATATATGTGCCTACCAAAGATAGATGAGAGAGTCTGTTTCTTGATATTCTCATTAACCTAGATGTTTATTAGTCTTATTTTTTAATCTTGTGAGTGAAAATGCTAACTTCTTATTTTAAATTTTATTACCCTACCTCCTAGTGGTTGAGCATCTTTCTTTGTGTTTATTGGCCCTTCTCATTTCATTTTCTGTGAATTTACTGTTTATTTTACCCATTTTCCTATTGGATTTTATGGCTTTTTGGGGCTCTTTGTTAACTAGGAGTAGTCTATCATATGTGCTATAATATGTCCATTTAATCTTTTTTACTTCATTAATTTTGGGTCATTCAGAACTTTTCCATTTTAATGAATCCAAATCTAGTAATTTTATTTGTAATTACTGCTGAGTTTCTTTTCTGGTTAAGAAGGCTTTTCCTGATTGAAAGTTGGGAATATGCTCCCAAATTATCTTCCATTTTCATTATTAATTTTTTGTTTATTTTTAGAGGTAAAATTGGTTTATAACATTATATAAATTTCAGGTGTACATCATTATATTTCAATTTGTGTGTAGACTGCATCATGTTCACCATCCAAAGACTAATTACCATCCATCACCATATGCATGTGCCCTGTCTCCCCTTTCACCTTCTTTTCTCCCCTGTTCCCCTCTGGTAACTACCAATCTAATCTCTTTATTTGTGTGGTTATTTGTTGGTGGTGGTGTTTTTATCTTCTCCTTATGAGTGAAATCATACCCTATTTGACTTTCTCTGTCTGACTTATTTCGCTTAGCATAATACTCTCAAGGTCCATCCATGTTGTCACAAATGGCAAGATTTCATCTTTTTTTTAATAGCTGAGTCATATTCCATTGTGTATACATACCACATCTTCTTTACCCATTCATCCATTGATGGGCGCTTAGGTCGATTTTTAAATTTAGTTATTTAATCCTTATGTAATTTGTGTTTTAGTTTGTTTTTTACAGTTTGAGATAGGGATACTTTTGTTTTCAATGTAAAAGCACAGAATCTGAGTAATATTGCCGGATTTCACTTTTAGCATAAGTTGGATCAAGGTTCTTCATAAACTATCTCAACATTTCAAAAGTATGAGAAAATATAAGTTTAATAATAGATAAAGTGGAAGAAAGGGGGAAGCTATATACAAAAAAATGCATGGAGAATAGCAATAGATAGATTTTTAGGAAAAGGGAGAAAAACTGAGAGTCTTAAGTCAGAAAAGAGAATGCGAGAGGAGTGAGTCAAATGTTAGAGAGGATCAAAACGATAGTGCAGTCCACCGGTGTAAACAAGAAGTGTTTTCACAAAGTGGTTGGAGCTTGGAAACTCAAAAATTGTTCAGAATACAGATACAGTAGATGAGACGAAATATCTGACAAAGAAAAGAACCTAACAATATGATCTGCAGTGTAAACAAAATTTATCATCATTAATACTTTTATTCAAAAAACTGTTGCTGTGTATCAGTTTTTTTCCTGCCTAAGTGCCTGAGCCAACTCTGATGCGGGCTTTATAATCCTGGATAATTGTTTCTAAGACAGTCTGACGTTTGCTATTCTCTTAAAGAATTATTTTCTTAATATTTATTATTCTTTATTATCAATATCAATAAACATTTATTTTGTTTTAAAATTTATAAATTTTTAAATATTTTAAAATTTAAATATTCATTTGTTTAAAAACTTGCAAATACTGTTCTTAACCTCCCGGTAAGTTTACAAATTTTATACGTTTTGAGATAATCCTGGAAAAATAAAGATATTAGATAATTAATCCAAATAATATGCAATATTAATTGCCAGAAACAAAATTTTAAAATGTAGCTAACTTGTGTTTAGAGGGTATGAGTAAATGCATCCTGTGTACCTTATTCCTGCACATGTAAAGGTTTCCTTTAATGAGATTGTAACCAAGAATGACATTTTCCAAACAAAATGGGACAAGTATTTTATATACACTGAGTCATTTGGGTTATCTTTCCAATGCCATTTGTTAAAATATATAGAAAAATCACATTTTAAGGATATCGATTTTCTCTGTGTTAGACTGGAATATTTTTGTCACTACAAGGAAGAATCCGTGAGCAAATTTCCCCTAACAGAAAGCTTCTTCCTAACATTAAATTTAGTCATCAAGGAACTTGCCCAGTAGAGTCCACTTTGCACTTAACACATTTGCCCTATTGGTCAAATATGCACACACACATACACACACACGCGCTTTTTAGAAGTGCTTGAAACAGACCCAGAAGGCAACATCTGCTGGGCAAATGTGATTCAGTTCCTGAGAAACATGGCAGTGTCATCCCAGTAAACAGCATGCAACCCACTAGCTCCTTTCCTTCGCTCATGCTGCCACCCTTGCTGTCTGGAACGCTCGTCTTCTCCCTTTCCCTTCACATGTCCAAGCTTTAAGGTCCTGCTTACATTCCATCTCCTGTACTAGGTGTTTCCTCATCTCCCTCCATGGAAGGAATCTCTTCACAATCTCGCATTCTACTTTACCCACTCTACCCTTTGGGGTCTTACCTGGGTCTTCTTTCATTTAGTTTTATTGTCCTTTAAGGGCAGGGCACATTTCTTATTCATCTTGACCTGCTCCACCTTCCCTACCATATAGTATTTGATTGTTTTGATTCTATAACACTCGCTTTGTTTCTTCCTGTTCCTCATGAGGAAAGAGAGTGTTTTGTACTTTAAGGCAGAATTCCTGGCCTAACTGACTTTACAAAAGGCCTTTGATGAACTTGGCATCCATATGTTAGTAAATTCTATTACTAAAAGGAAATCAAAATACTGTATCCCAAACAGAAGATGGTATATTTTTTAATTGAACAATAACTTTGAGAATAAATTCTGTCTGGTAAAATATAAAATATCTATGTATAAAATAAAATTGAACATGTTATTGTTCCTTAAAAAAACCTTAACCAATTTACAACAAGTTTTATTGGGAAGAAATTCATCCCAAACTGCAATGTGTATGCCAACTTCTGCTATAATGTGTTAAAATTGCTTCGGTATGATGTTTGTGGTCCATCCATATCTAATCTATACATGTGAAATGTGGCGTTATTATAAAATGTAATATTTTCAGAAACTTTAAAATAAAAAGTGTTTTTAATTAAACATTTGTCTCACAATATATTAACTGTAAGTTGCTTTATCTCAGAAAAATTAGGCAATATTTTGACTAGATCTTGACAAAAATGCATTAAATCTAGTTTTTTAAATGTTTTATTACTTGCAAGTTTCGGCCTGATGTGATTTTAAAATAGCCAAGTTATAAACCCCTGAAAATTGGAGTTTATAATGAAAATACCAACAGACCCTTAACCTTTCGAAGGATGAATGTGCTGCTGTAATAGCATTTGCTGCTGCTGCCTCAGTCAGTGTAGCAACATGACGAGGGTGCTAGATGTAGTATTTCAAATACAAAACTGGTTGAATGCTTGCTGAAATATTTTCCTGTGTTTCTAAAAGTTTGGAAAACTCATTTCTGGTTTTGGAAACTCCTTTTCTGTCAAAAGTTACTATAACGGACAAGTATGATGAAGGCACTCTTTTTCGTCTTTGTACGCTACCTCCTTAGTTATCTCATGGTCTCCCATGGCTGGTTTCCACAAAGCTTTTGGATCTCAGTATGTAGCACCTCCACCCACCAGTTAGTTATTCAAGTCAGAAAATTAGAGGTCAGTCCTAACTCCTCATATGACTTCTTTGCCATATCTGATTGGTTGCAGATACTAAGGGGTTTACTGCCAAAATATATTTGAAACCATTTATTCTTTATCATTTCTGCCATCACCTTAATCCATGCCACCAAAACCTCTGGCCAAACCAATCACAATAGCCTCCTGACTTGCATTTCAGGATAACCAATAGTTAGTGAAGGAAAGTTCTAATCTATAGAATTCCAGCAAATAAAGCAGTAGGAATAATAGAAAATCACCATTTTCAACCCATAATAAACTAATAGATCTCTGCAATCATCATCCATAGTTTGCTGAAACCAGGAGGGGCAAAGTTAATGGAAAATTTTATAATGAAGGAATTAGGCTGACATGCTCAGAATCCATCAACAGGACTAATCACAAAAAGTGGGAAAACCAGTTACTCTGTCTTAAAACATGATGGATGCGGCAGGAAGTATACGTGCCTAAAATACCAAACCTGAGTTTACAACAGATATAAGGAATATGGGAATAAGTTAAACATACCTCAAAGAGGCAATCGGTCGAATCTAGAATGTGAGAATTCTACAGAAAAACAATGGCCTAATTTCTCTACCAAATCAATGGCATATAAAAGGCTGCAATGACGGAGGAGGGGGTTGTTAGAAGAATAAAAGAGTCAAGAGACATAACAACTGAATGCAATGTGAGTACCTAGTTGGATTTGATTCAAACAAACCATTTGTAAAAATTATATTTGGGGCAATAAGGGAGATTCAAATATGGACTGTCTCAAAAATAGTAAGAAATTATTGTTATTTGACTTATGATCTGATTGCAGCCATGTGAGTCTGTCCAGCCAAGATCAGCATAAGAACCACCCAGACAATCCACAGAACCATAAGGAATAATACAGCATTAATTAAATATACTAAATTTTAGGCTAGTTTATTATGCAGCAATAAATAACTGATACAATGGCTTTGGTTATGTGCAGATGTTATTTTCATTATATTATTATTACAGCAATATATACCTAAATTTTGTTTTAGTATATTTATTATTTTATTTTTTACATTTTTACCTTCAAGTGCAAATTATTTTTGATGTAATATGTGAGACAGGTTTTCAACATGATTTTATTCTCCAAATAGCTATATAATTGTACCCAAATCAAATATTGACTAACTTATATTTACCTCACTCATTTTTAATGCCACCATACCAAGATTTCCAAAATTTGGATTTATTTGGTAACTATTTACACTTTCCATTGTTTTATTTATGTGTCCCTGGTTCAGCATCATTCTTTTATATGTTTTTGTTTTTTGAAAAAGACTTTATTTTTTTAGAGAAGTTTTAAGTTCATAGCTAAATGACAGAAAGATACAGAGATTTCCCATTTATCCCTTGCCCCCACACATGCATAACCACTCTCATTATCAAAATCCCCCACCAGAGTGGTACATTTGTTGTAAATGATGCACGTACATTGACACATCGTAATCTATCAAAGTCTGGAGTTTACATTATGGTTCACTCTTGGTGTGGTACATTCTATGGGTTTGGACAAGTGGATAATGAAATGTATTCATCATTATAATATCATACAGAGTATTTTCACTGTCCTAAAAAATCCTGTGTGCTCTGCCTATCCATCCTCTCCCCCACTTCCACCCTCCACCAATAATTGATCTTTTTACAGTCTTCTTTGTTTTGCCTTTTCCAGAATGTCATATAGTTGGAATCATACAGCATGTAGACTTTTCGGTTTGGTGTCTTTCACTTAGTAATATGCATTTAACACTCCTCCATGTCTTTTCATAGCTTGATAGCTCATTTCTTTTTAGTGCTGAATAATATTCCATTGTCTGGATGTACCAAAGTTTATTTATCCATTCACCTACTGAAGGACATCTTGGTTACTTCCAAGTTTCAGAAATTAGGAATAAAGCTGCTATAAACATCGGTATACAGTTTTCTTGCACATAAGTTGTCATCCCTTCTAGGTAAATGCCAAAGAGCACAGTTGCTGGATTGTATGGAAAGAGTATACTTAGTTTTGTAAGAAACTGCCAAACTGTCTTTCAAAGTAGCTGTGGCATTTTGCATTCCCACCAGCAATGTATGAGACTTACTGTTGCTCCACATCCTTGTCAGCATTTGCTGTTGTCAGAGTTCCAGATTTTGGCCATTCTAATAGGTATGTAGAGGTAGCTCCTTGTTTCAATTTGCATTTCCTTAATGACTTATGATGTGGAGCATCTTTCCATATGGTTATTTGCTGTCTGTATATCTTCTTTGGTGAGGTGTCTGTAAAGGTGTTTGGCTCATTTTTTAATCAGATTTTTGGTTATTGTTGAGTTTTAAGAGTTCTTTGTATATTTTGGATAACAGTCCTGTATCAGGTGTATCTTTTCCAAATATTTTCTCCCAGTCTTGGCTTGTCTCATTCTCTTGATAGCATCTTTTGCAGAGTGGAAGTTTTAAATTTTAATGAAGTCTAGTTTATGAATTATTTCTTTCATGGATTATGCCTTTGGTGTTGTTTTTAAAAAGTCATCACTATACCTGAAATCATCTAGGTTTTCTCCTACATTATCTTCTAGGAGTTGTGTAGTTTTATATTTTACATTTAGATCTATGATACATTTTAAGTTAATTTTCATGAAAGGTGTAAAGTCTGCGTCTAGATAAATTTTCTTTGCCTGTGTGGATGTCCAGTTGTCCCAGCACCATTTGTTCAAAAGCTGTCTTTGTTCTATTGTATTGTCTTTGCTCTTTTATCAAAGATCAGTTGACTATATTTATGTGGGTGTGTTTCTAGGCTCTCTATTCTGATCCATTAATCTGTCTATTCTTTTGCTACTATCACACTAGCTTGATTACTACTGTAGCTTCACAGTAAGCCCTGAAGTCAGGTAGTATCAGTCTTCCAACTTTTTTGTTCTCCTTCAATGTAGTATTGGTTATTCTCTACATATAAACTTTAGAATCAGTTTATCAATATCCAGAAAATAACTTGCTGGGATTTTGACTGAGACTACTTTGAATCTATAGATCAAGTTGGGTATATGTGTTTTAACAAATCTGATGGTTGTTAGAGTTCACTGACACTCAGTTTAGGGCCTTTTTTCCTTATTCTATTCCAGAGTTTTCAAATTAATGGCCCCTGTGCTTTGTTTGGCTTAACCATGTGTCAGCCTCCAAATGTTTTCTTTTTAAATTCAAATAGTCTTAAATTCAAATAGTTAAGAATCAGGAGATTTCACTTAAAAATCTGGAATTTTAGCTTGGGTTATCCAGCAATACTGGCCTAGCATTCCTCTTGATAGCAATCAGGTGAAGCTGAAAAGTAGGTATTTAAATTTCCAGGCCAGAGCTCTTTTGTAAGCTATAGACCATACATCCAACTGTTTACTGACATTTCCTCATCCATAGAAATTACTTTTCTGGTATCCATTATCACTAAGGAAAAGTTAGGGCATCTTAACTATATTTTCACTCTTTTGCAGGTAATCTGCTTGTCTTCCCTGAAGATTTGGAGGGATTTTTCTTTCTGGAGCATACATGTTGGGCACTAAATCCATGACACTCAGCTGGTAATGAAAAGATTTCCTTATTACTCTCAAATCTAGTTCCTACCTCCAGACCACTTTCCAAAATGGGAAATGTTAATTGATAATTTTCCAGATTTACTTCACTTACTTTCTGAAACACTGAATCCTTCCCTTTGGAAAGATTATTTAGTGTCAATTTACAGAGTCCTCTTTCAGTTTTGTTAGTTTGTACTTATCCTGAAAGTTGCTCCATAAATTTTGTGTTATAAGTTTGAAACTAATCCCTCGTTTCAAATTCCTTGCCTATTTTGTTCATTTTGGTACATTTCAGTGTGGGCTGGCCTTTATAAGCTTCCTCTTATTCCCGCATCTTTCCTGGCAATGTCTTCTCTTAGTGTTCGACGTACATGTTATATAGTATGTGGTTTATTAAACATCTTAATATAACTTTATGATAAGAGGGGTTGCTTTATTTCCTTCAGATATTCCCTTTGCAAGAATAGGATATATGCCACATGTAAGCATTCAATAAAATTAATTACATAGGGGAATTTATGAACAATTTATTGATGGAGTTGCTACGTGAAAAATGCTTGGCTGGTGTTTGTGGTTATTCAACATAGTTATGTGGTCCCTTTCCTTCTTCCTTGACCTACAAGTCAACAAACAAGATACTTTTAATCTCATGTGTCCTCTGAATTTTCTAAGAACACCCACTAAAAAGATTTTTTTTAAATAGGTAGAGTGACTTCTAATTTTACTAGTCAGAAGTCTCCAGAGAAACAGAACCAACAGGATATGTATTTACATATCTATCTATCTCTATGTCTATGTATCTGTAGAAAGAGGGATTTATTTTAAGGAATCCGCTCACACAATTGTGGAGGCCTGGCGAGTCCAAAATCTGATGGGGTAAGCTGGCAGGTTGGAGACTCAGGGAAGAGTTGCAGTTCAAGTCCAAAGTCAGTCCACCGGCAGAATTCCTTCTTGCTGGGGGGAGGTCAGTCATTGTTCTAGTAAGGCCTTCAACTTATCAGATGAGGCCCACCCACATTGTGGAGGGTAATCTACTTTACTGAAAGTCCACCAATTTACACGTTAATCTCATCCAAAAAACACCTTCACAGAAAACATCCATAATAGTGTTTAAATACATATGTGTCCACTGTGGCCTAGCCAAGTTGACACATAAAATTAACCATCACAGAAGATCATTTTTATAGGTGTTCATATATATAAAAGTAGGTTATGTGGCATATTTGGGTTATTGGAAAAGAAGATCCATCCTTTGATAAGCCATCTGTTTACTGTTAATATGAACTGACTGGAATCATAGCTATTTTCAACCAGCATTATCACAACACATTACAGGAACTGCGTATGCTGGAAAAAAAAGACAACCCAAAACTGGGCAGTAAAACATATTGATGAATAGTTATTGACATCTTTTATCCAGACGTGCATTTGCAGAAACAATGAGTCCATATCTTTTCAACAGACATTCTTTTCACAAGCCTGCATAGGCCATAGTATGCATATTGTCTACCCTCGGAAAAAAACATGAACTGTATATGCAGGTGTTGCTCCCGTGTTCACAAATAGTATCTGGAAAATTAGATCCATATTTTGAAACAAATATATAGAAAATGGGATGCATACTTTTATGGAAAGCATTTACTTGGGGTACTATAATGTTATTCGTTGAAATGCTTACTTTTATATAACTGGGTTTTTATTTTTCCCAAAAGGAATAAAGGAAAATAATAATTATTTTCTTCTAGAAATATTTTACTGTATATCCCTGCCTTGATTATTAATTTTTTTCAGTTTCGTTTTTAGTTTGAAGAGTGAGTTAACTCCACAGATAAAGAATGTTTACTAACCACATAACATTCTGCACTTAGCAGCAATGCCTTGAAGCATCCTAAATTTATTTCATCCATCTGCACTCACAGATACCCAATGCCAAAACTCGGTACTGCAGAAGTTAAATCACTTATTTCTTTTCTATGTAATATAATTATCCTCTAATCGACTTAAGTAACCTTCTAGGGACTACCAATAGAATCACCACTGGTTCAGGTTAGTCACCATTTTTTGCAAAATAACCCCCAGTTTTTAAAAAATTTATATTTTGTGCTCATTCCACTCTTTTTCCCAGAAAAGTGCTCATCCTTCTTTCAAGCCCTGCTTAAAAATATCCCTCTTTCAAAAAACATTCTTGATGAGGTTCTGCCTCCAATGGTTCCAGCTCAGGACCGCTCCCTCAGGGCCTGTGGGTGTTCTGTGACACCATGCAGGTGTGCAATGGTGTACACAGAGGGTGGCAGAATCAAATTAAGATTTGTTTTGTGAATGCTCATTACTCTTGCTGGCGTTCAGAGTGAAAGGGGATGTGTCATAAGGGAAAGATTTTTTTTTTTGAGGAAGGTTAGCCCTGAGCTAACTGCTGCCAATCCTCCTCTTTTTGCTGAGGAAGACTGGCCCTGAGCTAGCATCCATGCCCATCCTCCTCTACTTTATGTCTGGGACGCCTGCCACAGCATGGCTTGCCAAGCGGCGCCATGTCCGAACCCGGGATCCGAACCGGCGATCCCGGGACGCGGAAGTGGAACGCGCAAACTTAACCGCTACGCCACTGGGCTGGCCCCAAGAAAGATTTTCTTTAGGGCTTCAAGAGACTCAACGAATGTAGTCCCTGGTGCTAGCCCTCAGATGCTCTTGCTTGACTGCAAGCTGAGTGGTTGATGGACCAAGACCCAGCCCCTGGCAGGTCCTTCAGTATCTTATCCAGTGGTTCTTCATTATGTCTACCCATCAAGTTCTTCCTTCTCTTCTCACTTCTTGAAAATTTTCCTGGAATTAGTTCCTAAACTTTAGGCATCTCATCTGTTGACTACTCCATCTCCAAAAACACAAACGTGTTTCTCATCTCCAAAGTTCTTCCTGTGGTTCATGCGCCCCCGCAGTAGTATTCTGCCCCTACCACTAGAAATAGAAACACAGGCTTATCTGAAGCAGTTCCAGGATAGTAAGAAAAGGAGGAAAAACCAAAGTGTTAACTTCCTATATTAAAACAGATTAAATGTTCTTATTCTGCTATAGTGTCTATGTAGAGAAATCAAAAGATTTAATAAATGACATTTTCTCTGGAACCCTCATAAACAAACCTTTCTTCTCAAATGGTTTCACAGAATGCTCCCTGCAGTACTTTGCTTCTTCTGTGTCCTCTTAAGTAGAAGCAGCTTATCTTCTCATCTCCATCTAGTACATGGCCAGGCTATGAAATTCTGGCAGGGTTGCCTGTTCTGAGCTCTGGATGGGATGTTTTCTCTGAGAGGATTGTTTGGACCAGGGGAAGAGGATGCCATCTCTACCTACAGTGATGAAGGAGAGAGATGCAGACTGCTCTCAATTCCTACTGATTTATCTGCCATTACAAAAGAGAGAGAGAGGGAGAGAGAAATAGAGTCAAGAGGAATGAAAAAAAGGAAGAAAGAAGGAAGGAAGGAGGGAAGGAAGGAATAAAGGAGGGAAGGAAGGAAGGATAAAATGAAAAGAAAAAAGAAAGGAGAACAAAGGAAATGAAATAATAAGAAGAAAGAAAACAAATGTTTTGTATCCCCGGCTGAAGAATTGCTTTCTTTTCACATTGTGTTGGAGATCTTATGCAATCCTAAGACTGTAACCACTGCCACTACTCTGATCATTCCCAAATTTCCATTACCAACCTGTCAAGGCCTGTGAAAAGTTTGAGAGTTCACCCCACTTGCAAGCTAACAAGTTAGCCTGTCACAGTTTCACAGATGCTGTCAAAAGACACAAGACTCTTGGGTCGGAAACAAGTGACTTTATTACTCAAAACACAGCAAGGTGAGTAAGCTTCATATTCATGCCAGTTCCCTTTTCCCACTCAAGTCCAGTGGGGGCACTGTGGGGAGGCCCAGTGGATGCTGCACATGCAGTGGGTTTGCATCACAATAGAGAAACCCTGAGCTTAGAAAACCCCAAACTTTTACAGTGGCCTACAAGCAAAGCTGTCCAACCTGTGCTCCAGAGGGAGACATTATCTTTGTTATACTCTAAGTTAAGAAAACATGCCCTGTACTCCAGAGTGAGAGGCTATCTCTATCTTCAAGGCTGTCCCCAGACAAACATCCTTGAAAAGATATTGGGAGAACTAAAAGCTGTCAATAGCTCTCCCTGAAAGATGTGCAGAGATGTTACAGACCCATGGAGAATGGTCTCTCAACACAGCCCAGCTCTCTTTTCTGAATTCCATACCCACATATACAACTTCCTACTGGACGTCACCACCACAATGTCATAAAGGCATTTCAAACTCAGATCACCAAGAGTCAACTTCTCCATAACTCTACTGTTCCTTTTAGCTTCTATTTTAGTGAATAACAACTCATTCAACCTATTCTGAGATCTGGGCTCGTCCAGATGCCTATCCTTCCTCATCTCATACCCCAACTCCACTCCTAGCTAATCAGTCACCAAGTTCACTTGATTCAGTCTCATTCATATCTTTTATAGCTGCCCACTCCCCTCCATTCTCACAGTACTGTCTTAGGTCAGGCCCTTACCATCTCTCCCCAGCTGTTAAAATCCTATTGGTATCCTATCATTCCAGGCCGTTGTCCACACCCCCACCAAACAAATCTTAGTGCTGTTGCCTATGAAATAAAATGTAAATTTCTATGTCACACAATGCTACTTGAATTCAGGCCCCACCTGCCTCACTCTCCATCCTTTTCTCTCTGCTAATTGCATTTATTTGTTTGACTTTTGGACTCCTCCTACTAAAATACAAACCCGTCAATTTCACGGACTCTCAGTTATTTGACTTTGATTTTGCCAAAAACATAGTGGGCACTGCATACATCTTTACTAGATAATTATTTATTGAGAATCTATTATGTACAAAGTTGTATAGTTGTATGCTTTTTATTTCCAGCGTTTGTGTATTTCACTAACATTTACAGATGAAATTTTAGACAGACTAAACACAATTATGGACCAACTATTTTATTAAAACTTTAAAACCTTTAAGGGAAGACACATTTATATTTTAACACCTCCACTTGCCAAAGGGGCATTCTATAAATAATGTTTACTAGCCAACCAACTATTTTTACTAGCAAACTGACACACATTTATATGTGTGTATATATATACATGCATAGGTTTTGTTGCTGTTGTTTGATTTAGAGCAGTGTTTCTCAACCTTGGCATTATTCGCATATCCTTGGCAGGATAATTCTTTGTTGTGGGGGCTGTTTTATGTATTGTAGGATGTTTAGCAGCCTTTCTGCTTTCCACCCACCAGATCCCAGTAGTACCCACCCCTAAGCCAGTTTTGACAGCCAAAATTGTCTCCAGACATTGCCATATGTCCTTAGGGGACAGAAATGCCCCCAGCATGAGAGTCACTGATTTAGAGCCACTGCTTGGCACTTTTTAGCTCTCTAGAAAGAATTCCAACAGAGTGGAGGCTATGTACAAATTTCTCTAAAACTGATATTTAAGAATTAGTAGAAAAATACATTCCAGCCAGAAAATAGTGTACTTTAGTAAAAATGAGATAAAATGGTTCACAGAATATGCATATTAATGAATGAGATATTTACTATGTAGAACAAAACAAGTGAAGAGTATGATGCTCCCCAAACCGTGTAGTGGGGGACCACATGAACCGTATTAACCATATGACTGACTGTCTTTCTCAAGCCCATAAAAGAGATTTATACCTTCTCCCCTTTTGTAGAATAATCTAGCTATATATCTAAAGTGGTTTTTTTATTTAGAAGATTGTTTTTCTTGGCTATTAAAATTCTTATGGCATTTTTATTGCCATAGTCAATGTTTATTTATTGTAATGCTAATAAATGTTTGTGAGTTTGGTTGATCTTTTCCAGTAGGATGGTTCAAGAATGATTTTAACAATTGAAGTTTGCAAAAGGATTGTCATCATATACCTTCTCCCCTTTTGTAGAATAATCTAGCTATATATCTAAAGTGGTTTTTTTATTTAGAAGATTGTTTTTCTTGGCTATCAAAATTCTTATGGCATTTTTATTGCCATAGTCAATGTTTATTTATTGTAATGCTAATAAATGTTTGTGAGTTTGGTTGATCTTTTCCAGTAGGATGGTTCAAGAATGATTTTAACAATTGAAGTTTGCAAAAGGATTGTCATCATATTGTCTAATTTTTCTTGGTATTTTGAATAAACGTCTTTAAAATTGCTGAGATATTATGCTCTAGAAAATGACTTGAGTGTTCTGCAATAACAGCTTTTCATTTGGGTTATGAGTCTTAATATTCACTTACAACATCAACTCTAGTAGTTTCAAATATGCCATTATGAGCCATTTGGAATTTTAAAAGCATTCATAAATAAATGCATACTAGAATAGTTCCAATTGGTTGGATAAGTAATGTACATTTAAAAAATTAAAATAAAATCATATCAAAATGTATGCACACTTTGGTTAAATAGAGTAAGTGTCTTTTAAGTCATTCAAATACATTCTTCATCATACTGAGTAGATACTTCAGAAATATTGCTTTTGCATTTTATAACAAATAGTAAATAGTACACTAGAACTAGCAAATGCCAGGAATAGGAATAAAGGTTTCAAATAAAAAGAGAATATCACTTAATTATTTTCATGAAGAGAGACAATCCAAACCCTGTTGCCACTTGGTTTTCAAGAAGTTTTATTTTTTAAGGATGTGGAAGCAAAAGATATATGAAGGAATCAGAAACTTTTTCTTACTTTGTATTCAATAGGCGTAGTATTTGGAAAGAATCAAATTAGATAACATAGACTGAAAATTAATTGAGTAATAGGAACTTTTCTTTTCATTTTTAGTTTTCTAAATAGTCTGAGACTTTATAACAGAAGAAATATCAAATACTTTTATTTTCTGAAATCAAAAATTTTCAACCCACCTCCCCTCCTCCCACAATTCAAGAATTCTGAAGTCTGTAGAAACCACTCTGTCACTTCTCCTTGCCCAGATCTTTGTGGTCCTTTTCAGGGTATGTACATGATTTACTTCTGTGCCAGGTGTGACCAAGGGAATCTGTGTCAGGAGTTCGAATTGCCCTTTGTACATATGCAGCCATCACCATTTGAAGTCCTACCTGGCCCTAGTGTGCTAGTACAAATGGAAAATAAAACTTCTTTGCTAGTCCAGCAAGACCTGTGTCCTCCTAGGCTCAGAGTGTGGCCACCTCCATCATCCTCTCAGATGCTCGCTGCCCTTTCCTCCCCTTCCTGAGCAGCCCCATCTCCTTCCCTAACAAAACTTTCAACATGGCTTCGGATAGATCTTTAAGGTAGTTATTAATCACCTCTGGGGCAAGAGACACAAGAACCAAGAGGTTTAGCTCCTCTTCCATTCTTTCTACTCTGTCCTAACTGTGAGAATAAATCAATATTTTAATAGGCCTATAAATGATATTTACTGCCTCCACTCATATTTCTTTATTCCTCAACAAAACTCTTGCAACACACATTGCTATTTCACAGATACAGAAAGACACTGAGAAAGTCTAGCAATCTTGCCCAAGGTCACAAAACTAGAGGAGGCAGAGGTGGGACTGAAACCAAATTCTGTGTGCCTCAAACTCCATAAAAGTTTCAGACTGAACAGATAACTCAATGAAGGACAATGTGCTATTCCTGAATTTAACCTTTGATGACTGCAGAACAATAATCTCAATCGCAATGTTCGGTGTTTTGAGTAGGTAGAATAAGGGCCTCACAAAGATGCCCAAATCCTAATCCCCAGAACTGTCGATATGTTAGGTGACAAGGCAAAAGGGGGTTAAGGTTGCAGATGGAATTCAGATTGCTAGCAGCTGACCTTGAGATGGGGAGATTATCCTGGATGGTCCAGACAGGCACAATGTAAACACAAGAGTCCTTCAATGTGGACAAGGGATGCAGAAGGGTGAGTGTCAGGGTAATGTGATATCAGAAGGTCTCAACTGGCTGTTGATGGCTATGAAGGTGGAAGTGGGCAACAAGCCAAGGAATGCAGGCAGTCTTTAGAAGCTAAAAAAGGCAAGAAAACAGAAACTCCACTGGAGTTTCTAGAAAGGAATGCAGCTCTGGTGACACATTTATTTTGGCCCAGTGAAACTTATTCTACACTTCCGAAATCCAGAGCTATAAAAGAATACATTTGCATTGTATTTCACTACCATGTTTGTAATAATTTGTTACAGCAGCCATAGAAACCTGTCACAGTGCCTATATCAATTTTGTTTTTAAAACATTCCAACCACAATTAGCAAATGAAAAACCAGGGGAAAAAATCAAAGTTAGTATTCCATTATCATTAAGAAATTATCAGCCCAAGCCTATATTAAGAAAAATAAATTCAAAGTTTCCAAAGTTTTTCTTTTTTTATATTTATTCAGGCTTATAATTATCCAACTGACAATTATTTATGGAGCAACCATTACTAATTTGGTGTTGAGGAATAGATGGGAGGCAAAACAGACAAAGTTTCTGTCCTTCATAGATTTCTGATCAGAAAAGTCTCAAATTTAATTCATTGAGTGTTCACTTTATATACAAAATGAGTCAAATAGAGCGAGAGTTACTAAAGAAGTTCACAGTAAAATCAACTCTGGATGAAAAGATGAGATGGCGACGAGTCAGGCTCAGCCCCAGGGCTCTCTTCTGGTTCATCCACTTTGGGCACAGAGCTCAGCGTGCTCTTGTTTTCTCTGTTTCAGAATCACTGTCAGATCACTTCCTCTTTCCAAAGGACTAGCCGTGCAGTGGATTCGGTCTCGATAGCTTCTGCTCTTCCTTTACGTCTTGATTTTTCTTTTAGTATTTTTACTGCTATTATTTTACTGTATTATTTGACCACTGAAGAAAAACAGGCAGTTACAATAATATCAACAAGAAAAACTAGAGGTAAATTTTAGAAGCCTACAATGTTCTTACCCCAGAGACTTTGACTTATTTTTTGTAACTGAAAGCGTTCTCCTGCTCTTTCTGAGAGGGGTTCAGATAGTAACCATAGGTATAATTAAGGCCTAAATATGGATTCAAGGTAGAACAAAAGCCACCCTTGGACATCAAGTGGGCAATTGTGTTTCTGAAGCTCTCCCAAGAGATGACACCCAATTCTCTAGGGTGCTCAATAATTACACCATTTGGACATTTCCTCTGTATGACACATCAATTAAAGGGCAATTCTAGAAGACTTACGTCAGTAAGGCTGTTTTTCAAACTTATTTTGACTATAATTCGGAGGAAGAAATAGATTTTAATTCATGATCCAATATACACTCATAACTGAAACAAGAGTTTCACAAGCAATACATGTACTTATCCCTTATATGGAACAGTACACTCTGATGTTTTTTTAATTCTATTGCTTTTTTTTTAATGCTGGCTGAATCACAACCTGTAGTTTTCAAAACACTGCGATGAGCTATCATAAGAAATTAGTTACACAATGTGACAAGTACAGTCATCACAATCAGAAACTCTGGATATGAGTCCTGGCTCCAACACTTTCTTAGCTGTGTGTGTTAGTACAAGTTACTTAACTTCTCTGATTGTGCTTCCTGTTATCTAATTTGTGGAGGTTAATATTTCAGAGGAAAGTGGCAGGGTCCGAAGATTAAATAATATAACATCCAATGTGGGCTCTGCGAGGGTGTGCTTTTCACATATTTTGTTCACGGGTGAATTCAGTGGTGTGCTGAAGTCAGCACACACAAGCTCACAATAGTCAATTCTGTACATCTTTTCTCCTCATTCATTGACATCCTGTTGGTAACCTAAAATCTGCCGCCATAGGAGTATTTACACCAGACAAATCAGCAAGTGCTATGAATCAAGACCACCCCCACCTCAGCCATCATAAACATTTACTAGCACACTCCTGTCCGCATCCCAAGCACCTAGGACAGTGCCTGACCTGGTGGCTCTTAATAAATATTCATCAGATGAATAAAATGTAAACAAATGAATATAGAACACTTCATAACAACAACTGATATCACCATCAGGAAATATATGAGAATAGAAAGTGCCTTGGAGACTGCTTTGTTGAAAGAAGAGCCACCTAAGGAACTGCCTTTAAGGAAGTTCTTGCTAATAAGATAAAATGGTGTCAAATGACCTCATTTCCCATTGTGTCACCGTGAAATCAGTGAGTTAAATGGTGATTTAAAAAAGAAGCCATTATGATTTCCTTAATAGTTTCCCCCTCCATTCTCACCTTTGTCTCAGCTGCAAGTAACTAACTCCTAAAAGATCAAAAATCAAATTATGCTGCATAGCAGAAAAGCCCTGTATTTAATTTGTACACATTTTCTTCCAGTGGCGATGAGGAGGAGGAGGTGGGAAGTTTGCAGTCTAATGTTAACTCTTTAGGTGAGAATAATGGAGAAATAAAGACCATTTCCATGCAGCAGTACATACGATCTGATTAAACATAAAATAGAAAACAACAAAGCATATTCTGGTCCTTCCCTGTATCTCCTAAGACTTCCTTCCCACATATTATCACCTTCTCCAAGAAGAGTTCTATGATTCTCCAGGGAAAGAGTGAATGTCCCTCTCCTGTGGGCTTCCATGCCATAACGTATGTGCTTGGGTGAATGTGCTGTATAATTATCATATACAGCACAATTTAATTGCCTGTAATTATCTGTCTCCCCCCACGTGAGCAACTGAAGTTTAATGACTTTCTTTTGTTTATAATTTGACACTCAGAGTAATGATTTTTACCTTCCAGAGTGCCTGACACATAATAGGAGATCAGTAATGTTCCCTGAATCCATGGTCCAATTAATACATTCATGAGTTAATTAATAGTTCTTTATATCTTAAAGATAAACTTGAGACTTTGGAAAAAATAACTTAAAAAAAAAAGAAAGAAAAAAAGGAATGGAGATTATTTTTTTGAGACCAAACCAATGCCCATTGTTCTTCAGATTTAATGATGAGATGTCTGATGGACACTAGCTGTTTGGTGTTTGTTCCAAGGCATGAGGGAGGTCATGGCTTCCATGCATAAGGTAACCCTGGGGGAAAGTTCAATGATGAATGAGTGGAAATAGGTCTTTCTCCAGCCTTTATTTCATGGCCAATACTTCTACTAAACAGATACCTTGTTGAGTTGCTTTAGAATCTCTACTGAAGAATTATGCCTACTTGCTTAAATCTCAAGGACTCAGGAATCTTTGACTATATCTCGTTTAGGAACTAGTTATAACCATTTGCATTATTTGAATACATTTCATTCAGGGATTGTTTATACTCATTTATATTTAAGCACAATTGGATACAATCAATAAAAAGGTCAAAACATG